AAGGATCTAAATCTGTAAGAAGTCTGTAGAACTGGATTCTTTACAGTTGATTCCGGGGTTTTTTTATCAAGGGCTGAATAGTAACTCACAGCAGCATTGGCTTCTTGTTCTGATTTAAATACCTTCTTTTTGAACAATCTTCTATTATTATTTAGCCTGCTGAAGTTCAAATTTATCCCATTTTCAGGAAAAAACAGGAATTTAGAAAGCATTTAAAATTCAAACATGCTTGAGAAAGCATTTATACTTCACAACTTGAAAGAATCTTTCAGATGATGGGTTTGAGGACAGTCAGAAAAGGCAAAAAATTATGGTTAACTGTATGTTTTTTTCAGTTAAAAGGTTTTAAACGACACTGAAATTTTTTGCTTACATTTCTGACATTGCAGCCCTTTTTCAGCTTTTCTTTGCAAATGTACAGAAGAGCCTATCTGTGCAGTCTTAGCTGAAAGTGTTATTTGAGCAAAGTTAAATGCTTCCTTTTATGTCCATAAATTATACTTATAAATTATTTATATTTGTAGCTATTTCAACAATTATGTAAAATACACAGTATTTATTATACTGGCTATCATAAAATTATGTTCAAATAATTACAAACCAGATATAGCCAAGACTGTTAAAAGGTGAGAATAATTCTAAGAAAACAGAATTCCTGGTAAGATGATAATGTAACCACTGACTCTGAATACCAGTGCTATTGACACAAAGAGCTTTGACTGAACTTGGTCAGAGTTTGTGCAAAGAGAGGGCAAGTTTAAATTGGATTTAGGAATAACTAAATGAAGGTAACAAAGTACAATTAATTAGACCATTGGGGGGTCTAGACAGAGAGAACAGCAGGACTGTGGGTTTGAAGACAAATTATCCAAAAATAATACATAATCTAAATTATCAATAAGCCAAGTTTAGTTTATACTGTGATCCTGTTACATAGCAAAAGTTAACTAAAACTGAAACATGTCTGCTGTGAGGGGGCATGTGCTCCAACTTGTTTGAAATAACAAAAGTCCCAACTGACTTGTTACATAAAACACATTTTCAGGCTCCGAGGACCAACAGGCTAGGACAAACGTCATTGTTTAAATTTAAAGAACTCTGAGTGTGTTTCTGAGTCAGTGTTAAGATGTCTGATAAATATATATAATGGTAGGTTGTACAAGTAGGAGAAAATACTTATCTTTTAAGTCACATAAATGTGTTTTGGTTGGTTTGTGTTGATGGTATAACTCCTCCCTTTATGGTTTGGTGGCTTATGTGGAATTGGAAGGAGGTTTTGTATAATGGCTACTATACTCACCATTATTCCTGGGAATTGTGGCACTACTCTTTCTGTTACCTGAAACAAGTCTGTGTTCATATTTGGGAGGAAAATGGGACCACACAATGCCAACCCCTCCATCACTTTAAGTTGCCCTCTAAACCTTTAATCCTCTGCTGCTTTTTGAAGTGTTTGTTGGTTCCTTTCCTTTACTCTTCCTTTCTCTTTTTCAAGTATATTCCAGGAAATTTATTTCAGTTTCATTTGTCTCGTCACATGAATTTTGGTGTTTACTCATAATGTTGGCTACTGAACATCCTGCAGTTTGCAAGTTTGACCTCCAGCTCGGATTCTGCAGTAGTAAGGATGTGAGGTGTGTCAGTAAAGCAGGAACATTAGTGGCACATATGTACATTAAAACTCTTAATTTGAAAGTCAAACAGAACCACAAAATTATGATCTGGCACAGCAAAGAGAAGTGAATGGTTTAATTACACATTCCATGTTGTGGTAGCCCACATGTATTCTCTCACATTCATAAACATTCCCTTCCTGTATTCAGCTATTGAACCACCTTACAATTTGGCTTTTGTTGTCTGGAGTATTCATTTTTTACAGTTTACATAGAAAAAGACGCTAGTAGCTGCACTGATGGGTTGCTATGGTATTACTGATGATTATTGTAGAGCAAGGTTTTAATAGTGCACCAGAACTGCCTCTGTCAGTGGCTCTGAATTTTTACTTCCTCTGGCAAACTGCCTAGAAATATCTATTACTTGTAAATATTTTTGGCCCACTGGTCATCAGACTTACCTCTGAGCACCACCTGCACTACAAAAAATCAATTTCTGTGGATGTGAATCTATTAATCTCCTTTTGTGCAAAGAAGGTGCTCTATTCAGGTTTGCATAATGGCATCTTTATACCCCTTTAAATCCTTCTGTTATATCAAAGAAATTCTGCAATTTTCATCATTAATGCATTGCCACTTCATGTTTTCTTAATTTATTTCTTTGTTACACTCTGCCATTGCCTATAATCTACTCTGGAAATTGTTCAGGATGGTGTGGTTTTGGCTTTGCTTATTGAACACTGATGTCTCCTTGTAGTAAAATTACAAGATGGAAAGCAGTAATGGAGGTGTCTCAGATACTCCTGGGTCAGGACTCTTCTCAAATGTTCCACTCTTTCTTTAAAACTAGAGCAAATATAAAATCCTATTCAAAATTAATTTTATATGTTGGGGTTGTTTTTTGGTGGGAATTTGGGATTTTTATTTTAGGTTTTCTGTAATATTTGGTGATTTTTTAAAAATAAACATCTGTACATAACTTATGAAATAAAGTGTTCAGACCTCACACTGCTGAGTGTCATATTAAAACTCAACAACAGTCTGTACAGACAGCAGAGAATCCATCCAGTTCATCAGGAGCTGTAACACGATGGATTGCTAGCATCTTTTAATGAATTTGGCTCTTATTTAATTGTATAAGCTGCACATATAAACTTGATAGCCAGTAATCACAGAATGTTTGACTGGTATTAAAAATTTTGCTGAGGTTTGCCAGTAATGAGATCTGAAGGTCTGCAGCTATTTTATGGGCTGCACCAGGTGAGCTCCCTGTTTCACTGAAATTTCTCTGAGTGTTTACATGTTTTTAAAATAGTGTCTGTGTTTTAGACCATTTTATTGCAAACAAGCAGAACTCTGTTTGAAGAAGAAAGTTTCTTCTTCAAGAAGAAATTTTGTGAGAAGAAACTGAGTGTAGGTGGGGTTATACAGCACTTAGTTGCTATGTTGGGACTACTGCCACCTCCAAAAACTCCTGAGAAGGAAAGCAGGTACTCTTCTGGTGAAGTATTTAAAGGATAAAGCTTCTGAAGCTTTTTCAAGTGGCTAGAAAAAATATGTCCTACAATGATTTTCATGGAAAAAGGGTAACAGGGGAAAATAATGGAGAATTCCATATATGGAAACTGGAAAAAGGTACACTCAGAGAAAGCTACTACCAGTTGCAAAACTGTAATCTTTACAGCATAATATATCTAAGTTTATCTCACTAGCATATTAATAACAGTAGATGCTTTACCTTAATCATGTATGATTTCAAACTTAAAAAAAAAAAAAAATCAACCATACTGATAGCTGTGAGCAGAAGTTTCTAGGAAGGGTGCACAAATTCTCCTCCAGCAATCTAGAAATTACAATGTTAATATAATTTAAAAATCTGTGTAACTGTCTCTCTCCAAGCACCCTTAGATATATATGAAAGAAATAATGTAGCTACACTACACAGAAGTGTAGGAAAGAGAACTTCAGATGTTCCCTGATGAGGTTCTCAAACCTGTTCTTGCAAAGCTCAGTGGTAGCAAGGATGTAATGTCCTGCCTTGTGAGGTACCGAGGCTACCTGAAAAAGTAATCAAGAAATCTGTAGCTGCAAACTAAGCCTATCATTTTCTTTCTTCTCTGACATGCACCTTTTTTTAAACAAAAGATGTACACATCTGTAGGCTGCTGTCATGGTTGTAATAGTCATCTTTCCCAGATGAAATAAGTCTCAGCCTTCTAACATAGTTTTTAAAAATCTTCTCATTTCTTTTTCTTGTTGGTCTTCTCTGGACCCATTCAAGTATGACAAAGTCCATTTCAAAGACATGATTTTAGCTTAAACCAGCATGTACTCTAACAAATTTTATTCCTATAATATTTACTGCTGTATCTATAAAGACTGATGTGCCTAACTTCAGAGTTATTTGTTTCAGTGGAGTTATCAGTGCCCAAAGTAAGCATGCACACTGAGCTTAATCAGAATAGAGCCTCAAAAAATCTTAGTGAAGATAAATAAGGAAAACAAAAGCTAATAATTTTCACACTTACTAGATTTGCTTTTCCAGCAGTTTATTCATAATTCTGTTCTAGAAATGTGGATCTTCCTTGACACTTTCCTCTGTCCTCAACTTTTATCTGAGTGTCTGACTCACTTAAAAGATAGTATCTTCCACGTCATTTCAGAAATGAATCAACTTTTTACAGATAATCACTAACACTTTTGGAATTACATAGAAATACATATGAAAATAACACAAATACTTTTTAAACTGTGCAGATTTCTACAAAAGTTGACACAAACTGCTTATGCAGTATATCCTGTCCAAAAGATAAATCATTCTGCAATACAAATAACATCTCTGAATATTGTAATTTACATTACTTTTTGTGTAAGGTAAGGTTACTATGTAAGACCAGTGCTACTTATATATGGATGCACAAATGTTTTTCATATACCTTACAGGATAATCAACGATTCTGAAATAACTTCTTGCAGAAAATACACTATTTTCTAACACAGGGGAATGATTTAATGCCACACACCAAAAAATAGGCTCAATCCTGTTTTTGTTGTTTTTTTTTTAAACAGGAGAAAGATGGGGTGAGCTTTTCACTAAACTAATGGGTGAAAGAGGCAAAAACTGGACTTTGCACGTATAATGGGTAAATATCTGATTTGAATTATACAAAATAATAGGTTCGTTCTATTCAAGTCTCATCCCAGACCCACCCCCCTTTTCCAGCCCTAGGGGAGGGAGCGTTAAATAATGGTCTGTGTAAACTGATGCTCATGCAGTAAGAGTTTGGAGAAGTGCTGCTTGTACAAGTTAAAGCAGGCACTGAAGAAAGCGCAACCAAATAAAAAGCAGCTGCAGGAGCAAAGTGGACCCTTCTGAAATTAAAAGACATGTCTTTCTTCACCAGAGTTTTGACGATGAAATGCAAGCAGACACTTGAATGTGAGAGGACTTACTTTTACCAGGCGCTTCTGGCCAGCAGCAGGTTTCCCGGGCAGCCGCGGCCGTGCAGCAGCCAGCCGCTGGAGGTGCGGAGCAGCCCGCGGGCAGCGGCGGGGAACAAAGGCGAGGGGCGCGGAGCGGAGCTGCTGCGGCCCCCCCCGCGCCGCCTGGGCAGGGTGAAGAGCCTGCACGAAATGCCCGGCCCCAACACCCTCTACAACCTCTACGAGTTCTTTTGGAAGGACGGCTTCGGCCGCATTCATGAAATCCAGGTACAGTTCCCTCGGGTACTTAATGCTTTAATCACGCCAGCATTACTTAAACCTTTCCTTTCCTCCCCTGCTAAAGCGCTGGTGAATCGCCGGGCTAGCAGCACCGCAGCTGGGCATCGCCGCGCCGCCTTCCCGCTGGGGAGAGCCGGGTTTCAGGGGATCCCCGCTCCAGCTCCCGCAGCACCGGAGGCTCCGGCAGTTTTGTTTCGCGGGGGATCCCACGATCCCGGCTCCCCGTGCCCCGGCGCCCGCGAGCGCTCCCCGCGCATCTTTGTGCGCGTTTTGAGCCGCTGGGGAGGTGCCTCAAGCTGAAAGAAGGAAAAGAAAAGAACACCTTTTCTTTTAATTTTTTCTTTTCAAACTGAGCTGTTTCACAAGCCTCATTTTTGGCGGGCAGGGCGGGCAAACGTGGGCTTCGACTCTTAGCCCGCAGCGCCCACCCGTGCGGTGAGGCTGTGCCGGCGGCCGAGGCACCTCCGCCGCTGCCCTTCCCTCAGCCCGGCCCGGCGCTGCTCCCCGCGCTCAGAGACCATTTTGTCTGCTACGCCGGCCTCCCCTTACATAAATGCAGCCTGCCTATCCCGGTGCCCTGCGGGAGCGGCGATGCCCGCCCCCGTCCCCTCGGCGGGAGGCGGGCGGTGCGAACGCGCCGGGGGCTCGGCCCGGCCCCGCCTGCGGCCATGGCGCTGCCGGCCCCGCCGCCACATGGGCGCGGGGGAGGGGAGCGGGTGGCGGGAAGCGGGGCCGGATGGCGGCGTGAGGGGAGCGAAGGAAAGGAGCGAGGACGGGCCGAGAGCGGCTCCTGTCACCTGGCGGTCAGGCGAACCAGAGCCCGGGTGGGGCCTGGGCCCCTCTCCCCAGCGGCGGGGCCGCTCCGTCGGGCGCACCTGGTGAGGGTGTGAGGCGCGTTATCCCTGCGGGAGCGGGGCAGCGGGGAGCTCTGCAGCGCCTCGGGGATGCTGGCACGGGCAGCACTCTTACCGTAAGGCTGTCGCTATCCAGAGATGAATTGTTTTGGTTGCTTGGCCAAACATGTGGGTTTCATTCCTAAAAAGTCACAGCGCATCTCCTGAGGCCCTTTCCCCGTGTAGTACAAGCGATTCTGAAGGAAGCGCTTTGTACATAAGGGAGTAAAGCTGCGTCTTTCACTCTTTTGCAGCTGTGCATCCATAAGATTTCCACAGTACGTATCTCATTGGGAATACCTCAAATGGGGCATTTATTATTTTGCTTTTCTTAGTGACCTCTCCCAAATCTCTAAGAAGAAATTCACAGTCAGCCCCAAGAGGTTTTCTGCCTGAAAATTACCGAAATTTCAGGAAAAAATAAGACAGAGAAAGGGAAATAAAAATAGAAAAGGGAAGCTAAAGAAAATCGAACTTTAAATAGTATTAGAATAAAAACTTGAAAGCTAAGGTTTACAAAGGGCCTAAAAACAGCAGAAAGAGGCAGAAGATAAAAAAAAAAAAAAAAAAGAATCACATAAGTTTCTTATTTTTGTCCAGCTTTCTTATATTTGCCGTTTAGATTTTTAAGAAGAAATGTTAGGATGTATGCTGTATTCCATGTCAGCCAAACTAGATCGCTAATGATGAATTGCTCAGCTTGATTGCTTGCTAACTAAGACATGCACATGAAAGTTGAAGACAACTGAAGCTCTTTGTTTCATTCTGTTTCTTTTTTTCCTCTTAGTTTCATAACACTAAAAAAGATGCTACCATTGGTTTCAAGTTATTTTGCTGTCAAAAGAAATTATTAAACAAAATATTAAAAAGAATATATTACATCCTAAATAGTATACTCTTCTTGCTACCACTAGCTGATATGGGTATTTTCTTCTTTAGTGAATACTATTCCTAGAAAGAAAAGTGTGAGGAAGGATAAGGAGAAGTTGCAATATAATACTAGTTTTTATTCTGCTTAGAGTCTCAAGAATCACAGGATGCCCTGTTTGCCTACACGTCAAATGCAAGTAGGCATTAAATTTAACAGTCTGATAAATTTAACAATACAGTGAACACCAGGAATGAATTAATCCCAAACCCTTTGGTAACCAGCACAGCTACTTAAACGATGTCCTTTGGTGCACACAAATATTTGTGTGCTATATGCAGAAGGGGTGGGGAAGCTGAGCGCTTTTTCACAAAGGAGGTTCTGTTCTCAGTAACACGATTCCAGTTAGTCCTGGCCAAAGTAGTAATGCCTACAGCAATCATGACAAAGGGAAAGTATTTTTAATTTGATGGGGTTGGATCTCTTTTGTCTCATCAGTGCTATGCAAGGATAAAGAAAATAAAGGTGAAGAAGGAGGGATTTGGATGCTGGCAGTTTGAATTTATGATGTGTGAAAGAATGGTGTGAGGGTGGTACGTGAGGCATTAGAGTGGAACATTTTCAAGGTTTGGAATAAGGGAAAGAAAAAAACCATGTTGTGATAGAAAATATGGAAATAGAAATCCTGGGCATTTTTTTAATGCATGAAGTTGATAGAATGGTGTTCAGTCTATTGAAAGAAAGGGATGTCCAAATACTTTGTCCCTGTCCATTTCTGGTTTAAAACTAGTATTCAATTTATTTGATTGGATAGCTTGTCACTTGATTTACTTTCTGTTGAAGTTTGTTGTCCCATGTAAGTCTCGCCATCATTGATAAAATAAACTGCCCCATAAATACCAAAATCTGTTGAACCTGTTTTTCTGTGACTGGTGTCCTGTATTCCCCTCACTCCACTGATTTTTCTTGCCATACTTCTTTCCCAGTTCATGCTTTCCTTTCAAGACACTCTCAAAGTCATTATCTCCAAATTCAGTATCCCTAAAGTATTTCAAAGGCAAGAGATCCTTTGGGTTTGGGGAGTGCTTGTTCATACACTGCTCTGTCTGTGGTGTTGGTTAGGAGCAGACCATGCAGAAATGACAACTGAGTTCCTGCTGTAGCATTTCCCTCATCAGGATGACTAATACATGTGTCTCATATGAATCCAGATGCTGATTTTTGAAAGTGGTAAGAATATTGCTGTGGGAGACCTATAGAACTTTGACTGAAGTTGGCCATTGTGTTCCAAAAGTAGTTAAGAGGTGACTGGCAGAGACCACAATTGCACAAGTCATGTTTTATTTGGACACTAGACAGAAAGAATTACATTTTTTTAAGTGTACTTGGTATCATATTCTGAAGAGTGATTCATGTGTCTTAAACTTATTGTTGGCAATTAAACAATTCATTTCTGTAACTAAGATTGAATAAAATGTATTTCACCTAAGTTAATTTTGGGTCAATACTAGACTTTCACAAGTGCAATTGGTGTCAAGCATCTTTGGTTTATAATCAGCATAACTCTGTGTGCAGATGTCTTTGGATTAGAATGTAGGTAATGTGTCAAAGTTAAACTTTGGTCAGTTTAACTTGTCTTAACACTTGAACCAGAAATAAAGGCTTTAAAATTGATTTTCAAAGTCTTAATAATATCTTTTTAATAACTGCTTTGCAGTTCTGGTGGGATTTTCCCCCTCTGAAATGAGGACGTACCTCAACTCCAAGTGAATTTGTAAGAGTTGAGAGTTTCACTTCATGACCATGTCAGAGTGAAATTTATTTGAAATAATCAGTAAGATTTCATGGGACAGTGATAGTGCAACCTTACTGGAAAACGTTTTGGGTTGCTTTTGTTTGTTTTTATATATATACACAGCTTAATTTTTTCCAATCCTCTCATTTGCCTCCAGCCTGAATCACATGATTTGTGGATCAACTACTCAATAAACCCCACTGCAAGGATAAGATCCCACCTTTTCCTTTCTTTTGCAGAATTAGCTTATGTCTCTCTCAAGTTCACTGCTGACAAATCTGTTCCAAAATGCAGTTTTTCACTAGGCTGTTGTGCTGTCATTATTCTTGGTTAGGTGTGAGAAACTTATACACAGCTTCTTTATAAGCAATTAAATGGTAAAGTAAGCAGTTATTCACAATGATATTAAATTATGTCTTTGTATTATGCTGGTAATTTAACCCTATATGCTTCCATGTTTTTCATTTTTGCAGACATTCTAACCTGTTTGATCTGAAGGGACATGTTTTGAAGTCCTTTCATCTTCTCAGTGTTTGGTTTCACTCACACTCTGTGCCTTAGAGCTTTGGGTCTTTTCAGTCAGGGTCCTGAACTGTGTGACCTCTCTGTTTTCCTTGTGAATATTTCACAGTAATGCTTAGATGCTTCTCCCGACATTTCAAACTGTTCCTTGACTGGAAGGCTGGGAATCAAATTCTTGATGTGAGAGTTTGTGTATGACAAATTGTCAGTTTCCTTTTGTGATCGTTTTCCTTAGTAATACTTGACTTCTGTTTCTCTTTGTTGGTGATGCTGTAGCAAAAACACACTCAGGAATACGGAAAGATCTTCAAGTCTCACTTTGGTCCCCAGTTTGTTGTATCCATTGCAGATCGAGACATGGTTGCTCAAGTGCTCCGAGCAGAAGGCAGAGCACCACAAAGAGCCAACATGGACTCCTGGCAGGAGTACAGAGATTTACGGGGCAGAGCCACGGGGCTCATTTCTGCGTAAGTGTTGTCAGTCCTTCACTTTCCTGCTTTTCTCATGTAAATTTAGTGATTTTCTGAAGGACTGTACAGGTCATCTGGGAAATCAGGCTTTTCTGTGTGCGGAAATTTGTGTGTCTAGTGGGAAAAGGGAGTAGGTATTTGTGGTGAATGCTGTGAATTTGTTCTGCTGTGAAGTTTCAAAGGGATGGTAATGATGTGGAGTTGAATGTGCAGTGAGCTACTTTGCATGAAGACATTTTTTGGGAGTGTGGATCAACAGGAGCTGTCTGAGCTGGCTCACTTACCTGCAAGCAGTTTTACAGAACAGAGCTCACTAGCTTTGGCACTGCACTGCATGAATGAGGGTTTATTGCATCCGTTCTAGACTGTTCTCTCTAGCAGGCAGTGTGCTGTGTGGAATTGTTGGCTCAGATTGGTTTTAGTGTTATTGTTCACTGAAGTGCCCCCTCAGTAGACTAATGTAAGGAATGGTCAGTTCACACTGCAGTGCATCCTCACACAGATATTTTTGAATCTGGCTGATTCCAGAGGAGCTGTCTGTCTGTACAGCTTGCATAACCTGGCAGCGCATGTGGGTGTGGTTAATTGCCACTGGGAACTACTCACGGTCCCCACTGACATAGGATGTTTATTTAGAGGGAAATTAATTTCCTGAGTCATGGACAGTCTGTTTTTTCATGGTAGCAAAAGGCTCCATGTACTGCACTTCAGACTTAAATCTTAAGCTGCAGTTGAGATTCAAACTAACAATTCCTTGATATTTAGTGAGAAGAGATCTTAACTCAGGAGACTCAGGAAATACCTGTTAAAGAGATCAAATTCTTCTGCTGGATGATAAATTTCTGTGCCTTGCAATGGCATTGCTCCAGGTAAAAAAAGTAACACATAAAATATAAAATGTTTTTATTTAATTTATTTAAATAAACACATCTTGTTTAATTCATTAATGTTTGTTTCATTTATCTATTTATAAAATAAACACGTATTTATAATTGCTCATGTTCATAAGGAATTGAAAGGCATCCCTGGAAGCACTGTTCCCATATTCTCTGCTCATACAGAGCATGTAGATGAGACAATTCAGATTTTTAGTCTTCAGCATTGAGGTTTCCATGCATAGCTCAGCTAAAGCAGAATGTGTAGCTGTAAGTTATTTCTTTACAGATAGCTCTGCTCTTTTATTGCTTTGTAAGTTTAGAACTGGGATAGCTGAAAGTTATGTATGGTACCAGCTCAAATTGTTAGTTTGTCAGATGTGAATGTGAGGCCTTTATTTGGTAATTAAGTACTGGTTCTCTGGAAAAGCAGTTTTGCAGACTACCCATTTGAATGTTTATTTAAAGTAATTTTAATAGAATATTTTACTAATTTCTTGCATTATCTACTACTAACAAACTCACATAGGGACACTCATCAAATTCAGATCACTGAATGTGCAAGTTTTGTCACTCAACCTAGAGGTTGACTTACACCTTAGGATACGTGTTGCAGGACTGAAATTTAATGAGGACATGCAATAAATACAGAATAAAATTGTAGGAGCATAATACAAAATATACATTATCATAATTTTCATTTTACCATTTGACATGAAAAATTGCAGTTTGGATGCAGAGCTCTTACCCAGCTGATGATTGTTAAGGAAAACCATACATTGACATTATTCATAATTTCTTCTAGGGAGGGGGAGCAGTGGCTAAAAATGAGAAGTGTTCTGAGGCAAAAAATTCTGAAACCCAAAGATGTGGCTGTTTACTCTGAAGGAGTCAATGAAGTTATCACAGACTTGATTAAAAGAATCCATACCCTCAGAAGTCAAGAGGAGGATGGGGAAACAGTGACCAATGTTAACAACCTTTTCTTCAAGTATTCAATGGAAGGTAAGCCCAGGCTGTATCTGTAAATAAAATGGATGCAAAGCAGTGTGGTTGTGAAATGACTGTACCCTGATGTGATTAATCTGAAAAAAGAAGTTTGATATTCTGCATTTATGTGTCTTCCTAGTTAGTGCAGTGAATATCAGTAGAATTCCTTTGTAGAGTCCTTGTATTAAGGAGCAATTCCCATGGAAATGCTGGTGTACAGGTAAAATGTTCAATCAAGGTGTTGAATAGTCTCAGTGCTCTGTATTTCTGTATTATTTTCTCAAGAATAAGGGTGCTGACCTTCTAATAAGGGACTTCTAATTTCATAATATACCAGCCAAATTCCAATTGAATCCCCATGTGATGTATCTTAATTCAGTTGATAGCTTAATGTGGGAAAAAATACTGCTTTTCCCTGCCTACACATACCAAGTATGGGATTGCTATGATTGCCTTAAGATCATCTGCCACTGGCTACCATTAGTGAGGGAATGCTGAATGAAACCCTGGCCTAAGCCTGTATGGCATTTCCTATGTTCTTACAGAAATCTCATGGTGCTACATTTTTCATGTATTTCTTTAACTAACTGCAAACAACCCCATCTTGTTATATGTAATGCCTTTTAAAAACATTGGTACTCTTTGCTGACAGGCAGCTGAGTAGTTTGGGATTTGAAGAATATCCAGATTGCTCACTTTGTGTCAAATTGCTGGCTGCCTGCTTGGTCTGTTTCACATTTATAGTGTCTAAAAATGGCATTTTACTACCAGTTTACAGAATTTCAAACTGTGAGCTTACAGATTCACTGTAACTGATGGTTAGTTTAAATTCTTCACATTATTTTTGTTTTTAATTTATAACTTGTGCTTGGCACACAATTATTTTCTATATTACTTGCTGTTTATTTAACTTGCACTGTAACTGTTTAGAGAACCAATACATAAGATTTCTTTGAAGGGACCATGTAAGCAGCAAGAGGATACATAAGAACTAGCAGTTTCTGAAAGAGGCACAAAAGAAAGACAAGAAAAATATATTCCCAGGGAGGAAAATTAGGAAAGGAAGAGTGAGTTAAAAATAACCAACTTTTAAAATTATTTTTGTCAGTAAAGATAATGTCTAGTGGGGATGCCTGCAGAACTGCAGAAAAAGATCTATGAAAATTACAGCAAGTCAGAACAAGAGACAGTCAACATTGTCACTTGCAACAGTGTCACACTTGCTGGTTTTTAGGGCCGGGTGGAGAATGGTGTGTGCAGTAAAAGCACTGACTGGAGTGCAAGCTTTTTATCCATTTATACAGACTCAGAATTAATTTGTTACCAGCTGATGACAGACACAGCCAGTGGTAGAAACTCCTCCATTGTCACCAGTTATCAGAAATGTCTTTGGACTCCCCTAGGTGCTCAGAGGCCAACAGGGCAGGCTCAGGGTTAACAGTGCAGTGCAAAACACAGTAAACAGGCTGGAGGCTGCTCTACTTCTGGTGGAATTCCTGGCTGTCTTCTCATCTGAGCATTACTGACATAGCAACTACTCTCTTGCTGCAATGTTTAGCTGGGCTATTTTACTGTGTTTTGAATTTCTGTTTTATCTGTTCCTCAACTGAAGTAGTAATAGTAATAATAATAAATTTCTTGTAAAGTAGTTCCATTTTATGTTATTTAATTCCTTAAATTATTTATATGTGTTCATGCATGTGTATAGACAATTATTTCATTTTTTTATGTGTAGGGGTGGCGACTGTTCTGTACGAATGCCGGCTGGGCTGCCTGGAAGACAACATCCCACAGCAGACTGTTGAATATATTGAGGCTCTGGAATTGATGTTTAGCATGTTTAAGACTACTATGTATGCAGGTGCTATTCCCAAATGGCTTCGTCCACTTATTCCAAAACCCTGGAGAGAGTTCTGCAGATCCTGGGATGGACTCTTCAAATTTAGTAAGATTTAGTAATAGAAAAGTTCAGCTCTATTTCTGCAGGTTCTGTGTGTGTTTGAACGGGACAAGCTGCATTTCTCTTCTAAAATTATAAGAAGACATTGTGGCAGAAGTAAGTTTCATGTTAAATGCAGACTGGCCAGGGGAACTGTTTTAAAAAATAGTCTACTTAAAACAAACTTTACCAGAACATTTCAAAACTCCCCTATTTTATAATGCTCTTTCTTTACCTTCATCTGTTTCAGCACCCACTTGTCATTCCAGGTCCAAGTGATTTTGCCAAGGTTTATCTTAAGCCACTTCAATTTTAATGAGGGTAGTTTTGTTGACTTCAGCAAAATTTTAATTAAGCATCCTGACATATTCACCACTAAAACTGACTAGAAAGTTAATAAACTAGACTCTGGCAATTAATTAAAAACTTTGTAAAATTTATTTTTATATATATATACAGAAGTGTATAAGTTGACATTGGAGTACAGTGATGTACTACAATATGGATTTTTTTTGGTAAATGAAACATTCCAGACTACTTTATGAACCAATTTTCATGTAAGTAGGAAGATGGAGTTGTCTTTGCAGTTTTATTTTTTTAATGTTCTTGAGTGTTAAAAAAACTTAAACCCTTTTTCTTTCTCAAATATTAGAAAGCTGCATGTATTTTCATTTTTTATAAGCTCATTCTGTGAGCCATTAACTTTTGGAGGAGTTTTTTCTCTTCTTGAATCCCTTGCTTGACCAGAGATGCTGTTTACAGTCACTAGAGCATACATGAAGCTGTAGGTGAAATTGCTCAGCATGTCATTTGTATTTTTGTTATTACTTGATGGTCCTCATCTTTCTCTTCAAAGCAGTTGAGTTCTGTGGCTTTGACCTTCTGGTTGCTGCTAGCATCTTGTAGCAGCCTCTCTGTGCTGAGTTGCAGCTGCACTTCTTGCAGAGTCACCAGGTGACGAGCCAGGTGGACATAAAAACTTTAGCTCGGGTTTCCCTCAGGGAAGGGAACTGAAGTCTCTTTGTGCTCAGCATTCTCATGTTTGAGCTACCACGGTTCCTGCCAGCTCAATCTTTCTGTGCCATGAGTACCCAGGGACCTCCACCATCACTCTAGGAGGACTTTTCCTTAAGAAAACAGATTTTTTTTTCTCCTGGATGTGCAGTGTAGTGTAAATAAGAAATTTGGTTACTGAATGGAACCAGCAGAAAAATAAAAATGGAGGCTTAACAATTTTTTTGAATCCCAAAGGTCAAATCCATGTTGACAACAAATTGAAGGCTATTCAGTCTCAGCTGGACCAAGGAGAAGTAGTGAATGGTGGGCTACTTACACACCTCCTAGTGAGTAAGGAACTTACTTTGGAAGAGATCTATGCCAACATGACTGAAATGCTTCTGGCAGGAGTGGACACAGTAAGCTTGTTACCATTTTTCTTGTGCTTATTTGTTTTTGGACACCAGTGTCACTGGCAGCTCTCTTCAGGGGGGTTATGTTGCTCATAAGGATGTAATTTTAACACATTTAAGCCATGAGACCTTTAAAGTGATACAAAATACTTCCTGTACTGGAATGAAATTAGTGTTCTGATCTAGCTGTGGTTTACAGGAATCCATCACTTGGGAGTCTGTTCCACAGTTTATTAAACAGATAAAATAGCAATTGTCTTTACATTCAGCTTGTATTGCATACATTTTCTTTTACTAGTTGGCTTTTCAGGTTGGTGTTTGTGCTGCTTTAGTTAGACCACAATAGAAAGGTTAGCTGAAAGTTAGTGTGAAAAAAATTGACCATTAAACTTATGTGTAGAGTTTGATAAAGGATTTTCATGTATGGCTAATTAAATCAAGTGGGACATACATTATGGATCAGATACCTGCTTTCTGCTGGAATCCATTGAGGGGGGATGTTAGGCCAGCAATGATGGGGATAAGGTATAAGTTCATTCTACCCATGCTTGTGCTGGCAACCTAGGGTCAGGCTGAGGCAGAGAGCTGTGCTAAAGACTCAGGATTAATGGGGCTGCTGTATCCAATATGTTTACACCTAGGAACATATTCAAGTCTTTCAAGTGTCTCTCATTCTTTATTCTTCTGATTTGCCATGCCTTTGAAGAAACATTATTGTTGTGTGTATATCTTCCCCTCTCATTCCCAGCATATGGAATCAGTGTAGCTCAGTACTGATTGCAGCATGATCATTGGAAGAATAAGGAAAAAAAAAGATGAGTTATTGTATGTACAATGTATACAGAGTTGTTTAGAATATCAATAAACACTGCTACTATAAATGATTGTTACTGAACAAATTTTTAAAATAAATGATACTAATTTGATAAAGAAGTGCTAGGTAGGACTTAAATAGTCTTACCTAGTAGAAAAGTTTAAAATAAGTAAAAAAGTAAAATGGTCTTAAAGAAAAGGAAAATTCTCTGGATAATTGAATTCAGATTTTTTTTGGCTTAAGAAAGTTTGTAAGGTTTCTAAAGAAAACAAAAGAAACCCCAACAGCAATCACTTTTGTATTCCAAAATAAGGAGCATATGTAAAACTTCTTTATGTGCTGAATATTACTCCATTGGTTAAATGTCCCAAGGGCTTATGAGGTTGCAGAGCTTTTTGATGTTGGTTCTTAAGTAAAACACAGTTATTAATCCCCTTCATTTTCTAATCTTTCAGACCATTAATTTTCCATTTTTAGTGTGTGACATTTTTCATTAAAATAAAAGGACAATGTTCATGCCAACAAGAATTTCCCTTTCCATTTGACTCAGCTTTCTCAGCTAGCAACAGTCTTTTTCTGAGAGCACTATACTTCTGACTTCCTCATTTTCAAGTACAAAAGAAAAATTGAAGGAATCTTTTTTTTCCTACTGCTGTCAATTCAGATCTCATTTTATCATAGAAACTGAAAGGGATTTAGAGGATTATAAAAGCTTTCAACAGAATTGTGAGGCAGTTGTTGGCTACAAGCATTTTGTCTGTTGCTGGAACAGTCCTAATTTTTAAGAAGTTATGAAGAAACTGGGAACCTAGGGAGGAACATTGTTTATATCAGAGAAGATTTGTACACAGCTGGCACAATTGCCAGCTCCTCTGAGTGGAATAGAACTGGATTGCATTGTAGAAGGCACAGCCATTCAATATTGCAAGAAAATCAAGAAAAGCTTATGAGAAAGGTACTTCAAGCATCCTACCCCAGTTTGAAGACAAGACATAAAAGGTCACCATCATGATACATTTGCATTCTAAATTGATCTTAAACTTAAGGCCAAAATAAGACATTTCCAAAAGCTTATTTTTTTTCCAGCTGTGGTGAAAAAAGATTAGATGATGGGTTTCTTTAAATCCCCTTGTGCTCCAAGTTGAACTGTGTCCTGCCTCATGTTCTGTTTCTTCACACAAAACATTTTTAAATTATAGTGGTGTAGCATTGCTTACCAAAAGGATAAAATATAATCTTAGCAGTGATGATATCAATTCTGTCGTGTGGATGCCATGATGGGACCACCATATGCCTAAAAGGGGTTGGATGTGTTCTGAGAAGAATTTTCTTACCTTGTTTCCTGTGAAGTATTTTTGTTGGAAGGAAAGGTAAAATGCATATTGAAAACTAAGGGCTAATTTAATTCATTGCTCTTTAGAGTATTTATGTTTCAATATGGTTTACATAGTTGGGTTTGCATTTGGTTTGTCTGTTGCTTTTTATATTTCACTGGGAAAATATCAGCAGGGATTGTTTTGATATGTGGTGGACTTCTAGATGGAAAAGGGATGAAGGAGGGGATGGCAACATCTGGCAACCTCCCATTGAATCCAGATGTGAATCACTGCCAGCCTGTTTCATAACTTTAAACATATAAAACACAGTTGAAAGCTGATTGTTTTTCCTTGGTTTGAAATTATTATTCATGTAATCCTGTTGGGCTTGATGATTGTGGTTTTTCTTTAGACTTCTTTCACTTTGTCCTGGGCCATATACTTGTTGGCAAAGCACCCAGAGGTGCAGCAACGTGTTTATGAGGAAATAGTCAATAAGCTGAGAAAAGATCAAGTTCCAGTGGCTCATGATGTCCCAAAATTGCCTTTGATTAGAGCTGTTCTGAAAGAAACCTTGAGGTAAGTAGCAGACAACTAAAAGATTTAATTCCATGTTATTCTAATGAATTTTTTGAGTCAATTTTAGCATTTGTTGCTACTGCAGTTTGCTACTTCTACTTTTATTTATTTCAGTAGTATTGTGTCCAAGGATGCTCAAGCAATGAATAAGATAGATTATATAATGTTTAGTGTTTCTTAGTTTGGTAGAAGTGGTATTACATATGTAGGACTTGTCTGTTAAGGTAAGGAATTGAAAGCTTGATTTTTCCCTTTAGTCTGTATGACAAAATGTAACAACCTCCTCCCCCACACTGGTACTTTGCAGTCCCACTTCAATAATTTTAAGCTCTTTGATTTAAATTAAAGGCATGTGACATACTTTTTTAAAATGTGTTTATACTAAATGATAACCATGAGGTGAAGGGAGTAAGAGGATTTTAGAGAAGGCATCAATAAGGCTTTTTCAGCTTTAGCAGTAGTGCTGAAATGTCTCCAGCTTGACCACCTACCTTCATGCTTGTACATGTATAAAGCAAATAAATGCATAGACCAAATAGCTCAACCTTCTTTACAAATAAATAACTTTTCTCAGATGATGATTCTCTCACAGATGATTCCAGGTCTTTGAAGCTCCACGGTGTTCTGTACTCCTGAAAAACATTTTTAGTGTGAATGAATATGGCATTCATCCTGCATATTTGTGAATGCAAATTGGAATCTAAACCTTTTTTTAATGGTTTTAGTTACTACTGTTGAACTTCAGATAAATATTTCTCACTAGGTTATATCCAGTATTGCCAGGAAATGGAAGAGTGACCCAAAAAGACTTGATCATTGGAGGATACTTGATACCTAAAGGGGTAGGTTCTGTTGCAGTCCTCTGCAGAGAACAGTTGAATTTTTGCAAATGAAATATGATCTGCTCCAACACATATGCACTTCATTGATTTTAAAAGATTTCACCAAGCTAGAACATTAAGAGGAAAGTATTTTAGTAATACCCATTTATATGCCACACATAGATTTTATGATTGACTCGTTGCTGTTGTTTTGATATTTTTTTATTTGGGTCCACACGTGCAAATGAAATTTATCATCATGACTTCTTCTTAATATTCTTGATGGTGGAGTCTATTAATAACATATCTGTGTAATGGTACAATTAAATTTAAAAAGTATGAATTTCATTATTCTCCCAGTTTTCTAATTCTATGTCTGTTAATTCCCTTTGTGGAAAGTTTCTCCCTTTTTGTCATAGCAACTTCATGAAAAAATTCCCAATACTTGTGACTTGTTCCCACCTCCTTCCCCATTGCATCTTCTCTAATATATGCAGCAAAATTGAAAACAATTTGAAGAATATTTCCTTTGATCAATTGAGAAAGGGATTTGATTTTTGAGTATCCTTTTGTCTTTAGAATTACTCAGAATTGCAGTTGCTTAATTTTTATCACCTCTTATTGCAGAAATTACAGTAATTGCAAATGCTTTTAAATTTTGTTATGTGTGTTGGAGCTAGCTAAATATAAATACCATTTATCTCCTCAGACCCAGCTGGCACTTTGTCATTATGCTACTTCATACAGTGAAGAAAATTTCTCAGCAGCAAATGAGTTCCGACCAGAGCGCTGGCTGAGGAAAGATAATTTGGACAGAGTAGACAACTTTGGCTCCATCCCCTTTGGTTATGGCATTAGAAGTTGTATAGGAAAAAGAATTGCAGAGCTGGAAATCCATCTTGCACTGATTCAGGTTAGAACTATGTGACAGAATTACAAGAAGAAAGTGAATTTTTTTTTTTTTTTTAATGTATGCCATTTCTGGGTATCCTACAGTGCTCAAAACCTTTGTTTTGGAGTGTTTTCTAATGTACTCAAGATGCAAAGACTTAAAAAATTGAAAATAATCATGCTTGAAATGTAGCATAGTACCTAAACTACATTGCAGATGGTATGGTACACATGATGTAAAACTAAAGGTAAGTTTGGTAAGGAAATACATAGATTTGGTACAGGAGGCTTTTGTAAGCAAATCAGAAATCTTTGTTAATGTATATTAGAATGGTTATGTGCTCAATTTCTGTGTTTTAGTTAGAAGAATTCAGAACTTACAAAGATGGAAAATTGATTTTATATCCTTATACTAATCACAGTGTGATGACAAACAGTAGAATTTTTCTATGTTCTGGGCTTTTCTGTCTCTTCTTGTTCTTTCTTCTTACTCATTATCAGTTTAGATATACATAATTTATAGTTATATGAATAGTATATATTGAGATATATTGTTTTTGATTGGTTCATATAATAAATGAAATGTTCCCAACAGCTGCTACATTTTTTGTAATTTACAAGACAGCCTATAGCTCAGTGAGTACAGATCGTGCAATCAAATAGTGAAGATTTGGTAACTATTTATAGTTACTTAACTATAAAAATATTTAGATCCATTTTATGTATTCAAAGGAAAACTTGATTGAATTTGTCTTTGAATTTCCTTGAGTGAACTTTGAGAGCAATCTCTGAACAATTAGTGCCTGTCTTTTGGAGTGAGAGAGCTCCCAGGGAGCTTGGTAATACAAACACAATCTTTTTTGAAAGGAGGCTCAAGGAAGCAATGGAGAACCTGCTTTGTTTTCTGGAAAGAAACTAGAGCAAAACAGCACACAACCTATTTACAAACACAGAGTGAGTTAAAATTAGAAACACATGGAGCTCATCAAAGAGAAATTGTTTCAGACCAGTCTGATTTCTTTCTTTGACTTGATCACTTACTTCATGTAGGGGTATAAAGTAAGTCATGTAGTCTGATTTCAGGAAGTAGTTTCACATGTTCTGTATGTTTTTCTCTCAATTAAATGAATAAAATTTGTTCCATATGGAAGTGCCCATAAAATGCATTCACAGCTGGTTGGAAAAAGGAAATAGCTGGAGGCAGTAGCTATTGAATAATTGTTGTTGAACTGGGAAAGCATTAAATTAAAATTCTGTAGAAGTCTGTCCTGCATTTGATTTAGGCTGTTATTTTCATTAACAGTGTAAGGGATGGATTAGAGAATACTTTTACAGTTTGCATGGGATACCAAGCTGATATGAGTTAATTTAAAATCAGGGGATCTGAATACAAAATTTTGAAAAAAAAGGAGAAATGTTCCAAAGGCAACACAAAATTATTCACTGATGACAGTTGCAAGTTAGTGCTCTTGAGAAGAAATAAATGCATAAATACAAATTTATGAACAACTGTCTGGGTAGTATTAGTACCATAGGAACAGACTGGAATGATATAGTAAAAAATCAGTCAATTCTGAAAAGGCAATGTAATTCTAGATAATATTAGCAGCATTAGCAAGCATTTTGTATGTCAGAAAGAGGAGCTAAATTACTCAGTCTTGCTAAACACTGATGAATCCTCACTAAGCAACAGTAAACAGCCGTGCCCATGCATTGCATTTTAAGAACAACATAGCCAAATTCAAGGAAATTTGGAAGACAAAGATAATAACAAGAGGGATTTTACAAAGAGAAAAATTACATAAAAGCTTAGTCAGACATCTGACACTGAAAAATGTAGTTATGTATAGAAAATAATGCATTGGTTATCAGTCATACTAGAGAAAGAATAAGAGAAAATTACTTAATTTATAGAAAAAAACTGTTTGAGATTTATTATTAGGAAAAGTTTAGGATGTTGCAGTATTTGCCTCTTGAAAGTGTAAAAGTAGATCGCTGAGTTATTCTTCATTCAGAAATATGAGTCTGATGGGATTTGGATTCCTATAGCTTTCTCAATAATTTCACATATTGATTGATATTGAAGTGAAATACAAAACACATAAAGGGGAACCTCACAGAGTTTGGAAGAGACCTTAGTTTCTTTGATAGTTCAGACTGTTTAATCTAGTTCTGTGGAATTTCTTCAGAAAGGACTTGCTCAATCCTCCCTCCATCAGAGGAGGAAGATTTTGAACTATGATCTTTATCTTCTAACACCTTTTTTTTTTTTTTTTTCCTGCCTGGATGGGAATCATAGCACTTAAACTCTGCCAAGCTGGCAACAGAAATTTTGCTTGTGACACTCTGTTATGTTCTCTGGTTTAAAGGCTACTCTTAATTGATAATTTTGAAGTTTTTCTAATACTTGTCCTGTTTATGTTCACAGCTACTTCAGAATTTTGAAATCAAAATTTCTCCCAAAACTGAACCAGTTCATGCCAAAACTCATGGACTTTTGACTCCTGGAAATTCCATCAATGTCAGATTTTCTGACAGGAAGTGAAACTCAAATGTTTTGGAAGTCCTTATACAATTTTCATGGAAACAGGTTTGGATTTTGTGGAAGTTTAAAATATGCTTGTTCTCTGGTTTGCAGGTATTTAACAATATCACAAAGTATTATGTGCTGCCTTAGTTCTAGCAGTACATAAGAGCAATTACCTCTCCCATAACAGTTAATTACACATATGAAAATATGTACCAAAAAGATTCCTTCTTGCACTGGGAATCTCCTTTTATCTGGGAGAATTCCTTGTAGCAACAACACATGCATTGAAAAAAGCCAACCAAAAGTCAATTCAGACATGTCAGTATCATTCAATTGTTTTGTTACGCTGCTACTAAGTGAGTGTATTTAAGAGCAAGGGGATTATTATGTAATATGTCAAAATTGGCTGCATGTGTAAGTTTGTATTTTCCTGTTTCTTGTCCTCCAGTGTTTTTTAAAAGTTTCCATGTAACAATGAAATTGTGAGATAATTTTCTTAATATGTGAAAACATTTACTCTGCATGTATTAAAAAGAAAAAATCCAGTAATATGAAAAGTAAGGATAGAAAAAATACAACTTAAATCACGTTGTTTAAACTTGAAATACAGAACATATACAAATTTAGCTAAACATAATCCCCATAAAATATTTCTATATAGTTTAAAAAATGGAAAGTCTTAAAAATGAAAGTTTAAATGTCACATTGGAAAGCTTGAAGCCAGGCATTGTTCTCATCACCAAAGCACAAGCCACTTTCATTTTTCTAGCTAATATGCCAAACCCAAATGTAAATATTAAAAGAAAGTTGTTGTTACATTTTTATCATTTAATTAAAATACTGCTTTTATCTTTACTCTGTTCTTCAACAGTAAGAACTGGAAACAGTAAGTTTTATTGTTCTTCAGCAGTAAGAACTGGAAACTTCCCATTTTAACTTGCTGAACCCATAGGCAAATACAGAGTTCTGTAGGATGGAAATGTGACTACTGAAGTATTCAGAGAAGTTATTTTGCTGTCTAGTGCCTAACAGAAAAAGTGGACACCCTGGAGTTTGGGTTTGGTCTTTTGGGGGTTGTTTTGTTTGGTTGTTTTTTTTAATTATTATTACTTTTCCTATGACAGCCAACAGAAAACTCTCCCTTGCACGATACTTTGGATAATTTTAGTATTACTGCACTAACCTTACATTCCCATTTTTGAGAGAAACGTGTGTCCACGTTATGCCTTGAACAATGTTCAAACCTGCTATCCTAATATGATACATATTATATATAGTTAACTGTTTACATGTCAGGCTCTGACTGTTTTTTGGGAGGTAGTTTACATACTGACAATCATAAATGTTTCAGCTAAATAAACTTAGTGAAACTTTTGCAATTTGTTTTTTAAAATGACAAAATTTTTCTTTGATTGTCTAGCCTTTGGAAGACAAAGACAGGTTAGAAATTAAATAACATTGTAGTTTTAATGGTGTACATGAAATTTCACATTGCTACCTAGCTACTACAGTCAAACTGTTATAGTATTTTGATTCCTTTTTGTGGTGCCTTTTCAAGGTTTAGACCAAAGAGAACCAAAATCTCCTTTGCATGGATCTCCTATACAAAATAATAACACTAAACAAAATGAATCTGACCTACGGGAGGATTAAATGCTTACATAAGGACTTTAAAATGTTATTCTTGTGTTGACCATATATGTGTACTGTAAGAAAACCAGGTATTCTATTGGGAGTATTTTCCTTGAACAAGCCTGCCTTCTGATTTTTCCAGGGCTTTCAATTATTCCATCTTTCTTGTTTTTGTTGTTTTTTTTTCTTTCCCATTGTTATTTTCAATGAAGAAATTTGTATTTTCCAGAACCAGCTGACATCCCAAAGGAGATGTTTTGCAAAATCTGTTTAAAAGTCTATTGACTATTTTACTCCATATCTCTGCCTGGTTTTGTTGACTTGGAGACAAGGAGCTCCTGCCTTGAATCCAAATTTGGATGCCATATGATGCCTTCCTTTTGCTCTGTCATAGCATCATTAGAAACACCAGTCACTGCTATGTTGCAGTACATTTGCTGCTTGGTATGGGTCCTTAAGTAAAATGTCAGTGCAGAAGATGGAAGAGACATTCTAAAATGCTTTTTATAGCATTTGAATCTTTTAATGAAAACAGCCAGTATTTGTTCTAATAGAGCACCTATCCATGTAAGTTGTCTTTTATACATAATAAAATATTTATATAGAATTTACAAGTCTTTGTTCTTATTTTAATTATTATTTATATTTGCATTTTTCTTTAGCAGCCTAAAGTCTTTAACTTGTTGCATTGATCTGAAAGATTCACTACTCTGTGGAAAATTAATCGTTCAACTAGAAAAGAGGGGGATTCATACAAGAATTTAAGGTGTATAATGATTTGGCAAAAGGGGAGATAACATTATGTTAAGAGTACTGTCATTGTAGAGGAAAGGTACTGGCAAAGTTATCCAAGAAATACCCAAGGATTGACTCTAATGTTAATGTTTTGATTAATTGCTTAATACACAGAAGAGTATTAAAGATACAAAGAAAAAAGACATAAAGTGTGAAAATCAAACCAAACCAACAACAAAAACAATCCAGAATGTAATAGAAATGGGCTGGAATTTAATAATAAAATATATGTATGTAGGAAATAAAAATAATTTATTTGAGGCGCTCACCACTTGAAAATGTAATATGTGGAGGAAGGCCTAGATAATCACAGGTGACTACAAAGTGCAAGTATGTGGGAATAATGAGAAATACAGCCTACAATATATGAGGTGCAATCTGACCTATTCTTCCCCAACTTCTATCAGACATCTTGTCAAGTATGACAAGTGTGCTTAAGTGTTCAAGAGAGGTGGAGTTTGATTTGGACAGATGAGGATACACTAAGAATATGAGGTTAGTAGTAGGTTTTTGCTCTGCCTCCCTGTGGTTTGCTGGCAGATCAAGCACTGGCACATCTGGAAGCTGTGTAACCATGGGCTTAGGAGAACTTGTTTTGTTGGACACAAAAATGCTGAATTGATTTTGCTCTTTCCACATGGATTAGATAACAGGTAGTGGAAACATGGGTGTCTGCAAGAGACTAAACTTATCCTCAAAAAGTTCAAGTAATTAGTCTAGAAAAGTGAATATTTTAAGAGGACATAACTCTTCTCTTCACGTACTTTCAGGTTAACCTCTTTACTCCTCACAGTTAAGGACAATGCCTGTTCAAAACAAGTATCACCAGTAACAATGAATAAATAAACTGGTGTGGAAGGTTTCAAACTATCAGGGATAATAAGAGTTTAGCATAAAGTCATTGTGAGACATGGGGAAGACTGGAAAAAATATCCCCAACCATGATAAAAATAATTTTTAGAAGTGTTTAACTAGAATTACTCTATTCAGTCAGTTTGTTTTCTGTTTTTCCATGCTCTCTTGTAGGCAAGGAAGGAATCTATGAGGTCAGTGGTGAAATAGTCACAACACCAGCAACATTGTATGCCAGTGGTGAATGAAATTTAGGAGTTTAAATACCCCAGCTGCGAGGTGGCTGTGAAGAGGGAGAGTAGGATGCCTGGCAGCTGTGAAGAGGAGAGAAGCACTGGGGTGTGTTTGGAGCTAGGAACGGAAGAGCTGTGCTGGTACTCGGGACTGGGAAGGGAGGAGTGGGGAAGCCACACTGAGTGGAGGCTTTGTGGCTGTACCAAATACCACCCTGGGTGCCTCTTCAGGGAGTGGAGGGGTGTGGACTGCAGGGAGGATGGGGCAGGCTGAGAGAAAAGGGATGAGGCAGGAGTCATTTGGGTGCCTGATGTGTACTGTTTGTACTGTATAAAACAAAAAGGCCACTACTGGTTTTGATCACTGAGGTTTTTCCTTCCTCTGCTGTGTTGTCACAGAATGTTTGTAACTTTAAAACATGGTACCATATAATTTCACAGAATTACTAGAGATTTATATCTTTGGTAATGCCAAACTTTGCCAGTGCATGCCCAGAGAAAGACTCGGAAGGGCTGCAACAAACCACGGATTCTCAGTGTTCAGGACAATGGTTGTTTATGCTGGCAGGCTCGCATGGATGCAGATGCATCTGAAGGTTTCTCACCTCCTGAAGTGTCATAGAAGTGTCAATAGAGGATTTACAGGGGCAAGTGAAAAGCTGATGGTAGGATGATCTAAAGTGCTACCAAGTGGTAGTCCCAGCACTGTACAGCTACTGAGCACAGATGGAAATACTTGTGCCAATACCATCTTTGGGGAGGACAACTGGTCTTACACATTGGACCCTTCTGATTTTTAGAAGTGAGCACCTCTGTCATGGACTCTGTTTATTGAAGCAAGATAAACTACAGTTCCCTGAAATGTGTGCTGGAAAATATTTGGGAAGCGGTCCAAAGTTGCCAGGTATTTCTTATTCCTGTGTAAGGTTTTCATCTAAACCTTACACAATAAAATTGGATGGAAAGCTGTGAGTAGTAATTATTTTGGTACCTGATCTTTTAAAATCATTATATATATATATATATATACACATATATATACATATGTATATATGTATATATGTATGTATATATATATATGTATGCGTATATATATATACATACATATCTATATGTAAAATAAAAAGAAAAATATTTTGTCCGCTGTGATTAATGCACGTGTTCACTTCCCTTTTTCCTTTTCAAAGGTACTTAAACCACAAAACAAGTATATACATATACATTCATACATACATACATATATATATACATACATATATACATACATATATACATACATATATACATACATACATATATATATATATATATGTATATATATATATATGCTAAGAGCTTGCAAATATTTATTCATGTTCTTGCTGGAAAAAAAAAAAAAAAGACCAAAACATGTAAATGTCATGCGGGTATTTAAAAAATAATTTCAGCTGAGTTTCCCCTGTGCTTCCAAAAGGATTTTCAGGAAACCACTGAAAATACTACACTATGGTTTTGGTACCACTAGGTGGTGCTGCCTTTATAGTATTCCTTAGTGAAAGTCTGGGATTATGTACCTATGGGAAAAAAATATATAGCTAAGAGCAATGCACTTATTATGGCTTCTTAAAGATAGAGAAGTTTAGTTTCACTTGTTTGACAAAGTCTCTTAGCCCCTGTACATGAAAACATTCTCAATTTCTGTTCATCTTTTGCATATCCTTGCTCAAAATGGGAATTTGCATGTGGAAAAAAGTAGAGTATGTCCAAAGTTTCATATGTATGGGAAAAGTTTTGTTAGAGAAAATCCAGCCTTTGCAGTCCTGTATGGCTCCTGCTGAGATTTGTCTTTAACAGTTTGTTAATCATTGAGCTTTGGCAGCCTACCTGTTATCATGCAAAATTCAAAATAAAGCCAGTTCTTACTCTGAAGAGATCACAGTCTAGGTGAGATAAGAGTAAAGGAGACAGAAAATAATTGAGTGGGATATTTGTGTGTTTCAGACACTATTGCAGTAAACATTGCATAAACAGGAGATCATCTGACACCATTTAGAGAGTGTTGTACCCATCTTGGCAATGTTTGAAACAGTGTTTGCTGTCAAATGTTTATCTAGTTGGGAAACAACTCCATTGAATTGTAAACTCACTGAAGCAGCCCACTTTACTCAGACAAAAGGAAGGCCGAAGTCAGGGATTTGGAAAGAAATGTCTAAGGGATAAATGACTG